GAAAGTTACATAGTTGACTGAGATGTGACCCTTTTTCAAATAAGGGAAACGCTGAAAGAGAGATTGCTGAATAATTGAAAAAAGAATAGCACACAAAGGTGTCGTTCTTCTTTATGCTGGCCACCCAATTGCTTGTAATGTGACTGTATAAACATTCCTTCTGATAAACGTTGAGACCCGAATTCACTTTGGTTCAATTCCTGCAGCAGTTTGAAATACAGCGGGCTGACGAGTGACTCCCTGCCCCTCGGTTTGTAACGCTGCTCCCGTTCTCCCCTTGCTCCAGGTGAAATAGCTCTGTTGATGAACCGTCCCCGTGCTGCCACAGTTGTTGCTCGTGGCCTGTTGAAGTGTGTGAAGCTCGATCGACCCCGATTTGAACGTGTCCTGGGTCCGTGCTCAGATATTCTCAAGAGAAACATCCAGCAGTACAACAGTTTTGTATCGCTGTCTGTCTGAAGCCTTCCTCCCTCAGCAACGTGCTTCACCAACGCAGACTGCTTTATTACCCTTGTGCAGAGCCACACGGCCACTGGCATTTGCAGCTTCCTGTCTGTTTAAAAAAAAAAAAAAAAAAAAAAGCTTTTCATAGTACTATTTTTAATTTAGAGCATATTAGTTCTGTGCTCTCTGTCCCATTAAATACATAGGAAAAAGTTCTATGGAGATGTTTGCTGTTACAGCTTCTCTCTGTGCAGCTGTGTCCAACTCGGGCAAATGCAGCAAACACAGCCTTGCTTTACTGAAGGAGAGAGAGATCTCCAGGCACCGTGACAATTGCCACAGAATAAGGAGGTAGCAGGGTGTGGGGGGAATTTCAAGGTATTTCTTAAATCATTGGACAGATTTAAGGCTGTAGTCCTAACCTGCTGTATTTCTTTCCAAATGAGAATTGCCCATGTTACTGAGCTTCTTGGGGTTTTCTTTATAATTTTCTGGGTACTGTAATCCTGGGTTCAATCGTGAGGCATCAGCTGCTAAGAAAGCCACAGTTGGAATTCAGCAGTTTAATAGTTCCTGTGTTTGCTGGTTTAAGGTTGCTTATGTTGTTGTCAAGCGTAAATCAAAGCTCTCGAGGTTAATGGTTCAGATGAACTACTGCAGTTGTTACTTCATTTGCTGATTTGTCACAACTGATCCTTTCCTTGTTCTTTCTTCAGTGATAGATTTGCCCTGAACTTCCTGTTCAAAGTGGCAAGAACCAAATGTTCCACACAATGCCTGACTTTGGGCTCCAGTACACGGACATAGGGATGGTGCAGCCGCCCAGCTGTTAGTCGTGCACAGGTACTACACTGGTGCAGAAATTGGAAGCAAACTTTTTATTTCCCTTGCTTGCTTTGTATTCCCCAGTTGACTTATTTTTTTTTAATGGTCATCAGTTCACGTATCCCTTTGACACCAGGGAAATTTAAACTTTGAAGCACTGATGGGCAGCATTAGTTGTGGGTGCTGGCCCATAGAGATGCCATTATGCTGTCAGACTGCCAGGCAGAAAACGTGCCTCGCTTTAACGTTTTAACTTCCCTGCAACACTCATTTTAAGTATGCTTGTTTTTAAATCAACTCAGAATTTTTAAGAAGGATCATTAGGAGTCTAGTTTAAATACAAAAAGCTTATTCTCTTTCCATACTTGCCCAAATGACACGATGCATTTCATACTCTTTTTTTTTTTCCCCTCCCAAGTTCAATATGTTGTGGAGTCTTAAACGTATTTCAGTATTTTCCAGCTTTGTGTTGCATCGTTCTGTGTGCACCAATACTTCCCACAGGTTTGTACTGAATTCCACGGTTCAATAATGGTAGGCAGTTCTCAAGGTTTCCTTTACCCTGTAATTTATATCCAGTAGTGTAGGTTTGTATTTGGGAGTGACAGCAAGCGGTTTTGCGTTTATGGGGCAACTGCTTCTCAAGATGGAGCCCTCGTTTAATTTCCTTTCTGAGATGATACGGATTCAGATCCAACAGGCTTTCTCCCAGGCGTGTCAAGAAGAGCCTGCTAATTGATGCAAAGTAATTCTGAGGGCATTGGGCTTTCACAAAAGGGTATTTCCAAACCTGAAATCCCAGTGGTGGGATTTAAACGCTTGTGGTTTGAGTTCTGTCTTCACAAGAAATTGAGAAGACTGCTTCTGCCGGAGTCCTTAAGGAGTAAGCAAATGCTACTTTTACTTTATAATTTTATTTTTTTTTTTGCTAAAACTGTTCTCTTCAGTTTTGGATCTATCCAGGTTTTTCCTTCATTATGTGTTCATGTTACTTTAAAGCACCAAAAACTGTGTAAACTAGTTAGAGCTCCACACAGAAGTGCACATTTTTTTATATAAGGCTTTCTAATCGAGTTTCACTACTGCATCTTTTTAGCTTGCTGTTTACTCCCTTTTGTAGTTTTACCTACAAGATTTTAAGATAAATCAGCTAAGTCTGAGTTAAATATTAATCACAGTTGTAGCTTTACCTTTGTGTGCAATTTAAATATGTTTGAAACCACAATTGGCATAGTTTTGCCTTAGCTAACATTTGGGGCTTTAGAAGTATTTTTTGCTAGTCCACCTTTAGCGAATTTATAAAGTCTATTGCCCTAGAAAGCTATAGTCAACCAGAGGACCATTTTTGTATTGTTACCTGACTATATAAGTCTGATTTACTGTATGTGCTAATATATTATATTCCTTTTGTTATAGATTGTCCTAATGGCAGGTAAAGCAATAAAATGATTTAAATTCTTAAATGCAATCAGCCTCTCTTTTTTTTTCCACCCCTATGTTTTATGTTTTCCTTCACCTTCAGAGGATGAATTGCCAATAAACTGGTGGTAAATGAAGGAACTTAATGGAGGTTTGAATTCCAGTCCTTGCTTACAGCACAGCTGACCCTTCCTCTCTGGGACTGAGTGTGTAACGTGCACAGAAAATCACCAGTAGAGGGAGATGCAACTTTGGGAATAGAATGTCCCATACTGAAACAGCTGCAGGCGGTGAGTGCTGACAGAGTGAGCCAAATCCTTCCGTTTTAATCTGTTATCTGCTCACTAGAGTACATGGGGGGGAAAAAAAGCAAAGGTCTGTAAGCCTGCTGCTGTTGAGAATTCTGTTTGATTGAGGCTACCTAAAATGTGCTTAAGTGAAAGCTGGAAGTGGAAGGACGTGGCTGAATTGAGACAGGCTGAGGGAGCCTGCTAGGCTGGGTTCTTTGTCTGCTCTTCAGTTCTGTGCATTAGATCTTTTCTTTTCCTGACCTTTGTGGCTTCAAAATATTGGGCTCTCTGTGTTAAGCAGAAACATTCCCAACTTCCTCAAACGAATAGAACGGCACCTGTGGGGACATACAGAATTACACCTACAGTCTCTTCAGTAGCTTTACAGAGCGAAGACAGGCAGCCGGTTGAACACTTGTTCTGGGGTTGGACTGAGCTCCACTACAGTTCCCTGTGAAAAACAGCAGTGCTGGCCAAACCAGCTCTGTTACTTCCCTGCACAGTCCAGGCCAGCGTCACCCAGTGCTTGTTAGGCTGGGCAGAGTTCCAACCTAAAATGACAGTGTGGTAGGTGATGCAGCTTGCTGTGAACCTGAGCAGCCTGCAGCGCTGCTGATGGCTTTTGTTTAACTGAAAGGTTAGTTTAGAATGAACTTCTAGTAGACTGATTGTTTTGGGTTTTTTTTCTTTAAGGATGATAAATGATCAACAAAGTTCTCAACGACTTTCCCCAGGCTGCCAAGAAGCTCAGTGTAATCATTCCTGAACAGTTGAAGCAAAAAGCTATTAAAGAGCTGCAGTAATCAAACCACGCTTAAGCCTTGCCCTTGGGAGGCAAGGGGAAGCTTACAAATTGGAAGATCTCTGATAACTCCTCTACACTTTTTTGGTCTTCAGTTCCTATTGCTTCTCCCCAAAATACGCAGAGATAAGGGGAGGAGGAGGAGCCATTTCTGTTTTGCAGGGAATTCTGATAGCTTGAGTGACTTCAAAGCAAGATGATGATGCAAGATGGAGCCCCCCACCTCAGCAAAATGTTTTGACCAGAAGTGGGTGACTTCTGGGATTGTAAATACAGTCCTATGTCTTTCAGTAGCTGTGTCCAAATATATATATTTATAAACATATATATATTTTTCTCCTGCTTTTCTGTTATAACCCAGCCTGATTCTTCCACCCCCAAGGCAGGTGAAAATAGAAATGATCTTACTGCCCTGCAAGCCAGTGGACTTTTGGGCAATGTGCACAGATTGAAGTGGACTGGGCTGGTTGTTTTCTGTTGCAGAGAACCAGGCCAGGGGTCCTGTCTGCTGGTGGGTGCTGTGCAGAGATGCTCCAGGCTGACCACATGAACCAGTGTGTCACCTTGTCACAGTAAGGTTGCTCCTTTCTCACACGCGGTCTTGATTACAGAACACAGACTTATAAGAGGAGAATATTCGTGGCATCTCTTTATTCAAGCCTCATCCTTGGATCTAGCATGTGTCCATCATAGCAAGGCTGAGCAGGCTGAGCAAGCTGCAGGCTGTATGTGTTCCTGTCACCCACCAGGCATGCTCAGCTGCAAACCAGATCTCTGCTTTCCCACAGAGCTGGTGCTTGGGGTGCAAAGACCTGCTGCAGCTTTGCTTGAGCGCTCAGCCTGGGAACCCGCTGTGATTCCTGAAGGTCTTCCAAAGTTTCCCCTCTCCGTGTCGTGGGCACTTGTAGATAGAAATGACCAACTGTTAACACCTGTCCCTGGTCTCGCAGGGGTCTCCCCTGCTTCTGAGCAGGAGCCGAGGGCTGTTTATGTGCTCAGCTTCGCTCTGTCGGATGTGGGAGCCTCGGGCTGCCTGGTGTCATTGGCCACCACCTTGGCTTCTCCATGTGTGTCTATGCACTTCCTCACGGCTTTCAGGATGAGCTGTAACCGCCGGTCCAAGGCCAGGAGATGGGGCTCGGTGAGGACAGGTGCCAGGGGGTCCTGCAGGAGGGATTCTCTCATCACTGCACTCAGCTGGTACTCGGGCTCAGCCAGCAGCTGCAGGCGCAGCAGCGTCGTCCTCTTTATTCTGGAAGAGAAAGAAAGCAGGAGTCCCAGTGCCAAACATCACAGCACCCCGGTAAGGGACAGTTGTCTGAGCCTCTGCTGAGAGGGGGGGGAGGGAGGGAAGATACAGTTCCAGATAACAGTATTTGGAACAAAAAGCTCTTACTGAAGAAAATGGGAGTCTCTGCAGAAACCTCTGGTTCTTACTTATTTTTCAGGCTACAGAGTGCTCATACAGCAGATTTTTGTCTTCAGAGAGAATGTTAGAAATCCTCAGCAATGAGCATTCTGCCTTTGACTCAGATGTGACCTAGTTCCCCAGATGATTGCAGGGCAGTGCCACGGTACCAGAAATGACATTTATGGGGCAGAAGGAGAGAGAAAATGAAGCTGTGCATCTTAGCTGCTGATGAATGAGGAAAAATCTCTCTAAATTGAACAAAAAGAGAGTATTTCCCAGAGCTGATCTAACATTGTGCCTGAAGAGGCACTGAGGATGAAGTATTTCCCTTTGACAGAAGGGAGGATGAAAAGCTACGATCTTGGCCTGCTTTGGGGAATGACACCAGGTATTCTAACGTGATTTGTTTAATGCTCAGCAGAAGTATTTTGATTTCAGTGTGTCTGTGACTGAAATGGACCAGTGATCTCACCCATTGCCTTTTAAATTTTGGAAAGATGGCAGCCTGTGTTTGTGGAACCATGCTGACTCAGCCAGAATTTCCACGTGGAGGAAGATGTGATGGGAGAGGAGAGGAGCAACCTTCACTAAATGAGACAAGGACTGGAACAGGGGCTGTGAAAGGTGGGTCAGAACACTAGGATGCTGCAGGAAGCCGAGCTCGGAGGATTCCAAGCCTTTCTGGATGCTTCCCAGGATGGATTTCTATAGGAAATGAGGCTTTTGGGTGGCCCTGTAGTGAGTACAAGTCGTTTTCAAGTTGCAGTTCTTGCCCATAGCTGGCTCATTAAAGGTGTGACCTGCAGCTCATCCTACCTAAATTAAGCACAGCTTCTGGGAGGTGGATCTGGGTGAGCAGGAAGGATGTGACCTGCAGATAGTGCTGCTAGGTCAGAGAGTTCATGTGAACTGCACAAAATAGGAGCTTGGCAGAAGGAGTCACTGTGAGCTGCAATTATAAATGGAAAGTCTCACTCGGTGCAAACAGCAGTTCTTAAAATTAGATCCGGTAATAGGAGTATGTGGGGAGAGTGCAATTAGCACCCCAAGGCTTACATGGAGCAGGTACAGCAAGGAAATAGGTTAGGGATCTCCTAAAGAGAAACCACAGGGAGGAGCAGCTTTTCTTCCTCTTTAATTTAACTTTTAGCTGTTGATTTATGTGGATTAATAAAAGGGTGGCCAAGATAGGATTCAAATGATAAAATTGACGAGCTTCTCCTTGATGCTGTGAGAAGAAACCTGGTTAACTATCAGAGCTGGTGAATGGAGGTTTCATATTAGCACACACAGACAAGTGGGGCTGGCAGCACTTTGTGTTGACGTGTTGGGAAAGGCAAGGGGATGCTTCTGGAAGGGTTTGGGCCAACAGAAAAGTCAGACAGCCTTTTTGTGTGTGAGACTGATGCCTTGTGGGCATTCAAGCATCAGATGTTTGCCTGCTGCTGAGCAAGGGAGCTGTTTGTGGGGATTTGGGAAGCTCACCTGGGCACGTGGGTTACGTAGGGGTTCTCATGGGAAAGGGTTCATTTGGGATAGTAAGTATGAAGTACAGGAATGATGGCTGTGTGACACAGCAGAGCAGCTCGATGCTCTGAGTGACATAAAAACTTTACTCTTGCTTTGGAGATAACTGGTGGTTTCCATGCTGAGCTGTTTGCTTGGGTTCCCAGGTGGATTCCAGCAGCCAGCGCTGCCGGGCCAGGAGGAACTGATGTGTCTGGGAAGGAAAACAAAGCTGACACTTACACACAGCACTGGGAGAGAGGGGCCAGGATGGAGATTTCATCGTGAGAATGCCGCCCAAACCTGGGGGAAGGAGAGAGCACGGACTGTTAGCACCTGCCCATGGCCTCCCCACGTCCCCTCGGCTTCCCAGCCTCACCCCCTGGCGTTGTCCAGGTGTAGGAGGAAGCCATCATCTCCAAACTTGGTGAACATCTCATAGTGGTGACGGTCCATGTTCCCTGGTAAAGGAGGAACAGAGCAGCGGTTTCCCTTGCAAGTGCCTGAGTCATTTTCAGACCTATCCCGTGTTTTCTTTCCCATCAGCATGAAATGCTTTAATTGTACCTATCAGGAAGTCAAATATGGCCATGTCAACGATGTTAAGCAGCCGGTTGCCGCTGCTGTAGGGGTAGATCTCCCTCACAGTGTCACAGTAGAGCGGATTCACCTCCCACCTGCAGGACACCAGGGGAGGGGGCACACAGTCCACTCACAGTCTGTATCCCACTCATTCTCCTCCCCACACGCTCCCTGTAAGGCACATGTATGAAGCAGCAGCATTTACCCACTTACTCCTCTTTTCCATCAAACGAGTAGGAGCGGATCCACGGGTTTGGGATGGAGAGCCGAGGCGCCAGGTTGAGGGATGGAAGGAAGGCAGACAGGGACCCTTCCAGGAGGTGAGGATTCCCACACACTGCGTACTCTGTCTTGCACATGTATGGGCACTTGGCAAAGAAGCACACATTGCTGGCTGGAGGAGAACAGAAAGAACTGGGGAAAGAAGCTATGGGGCATGGAGCTTGGACTGACCCCTGCCTCACCATGCGATGTATCTAAGCACATAACGGATGTGAACTGCCAAACCATGGAGGGAACCAGAGTTTTGGTCAATGGAGAGATTCAGTCCTATGCTGGGGGAAAGGATAAGAAGCAGGACAAGTGAACAGATCTCGTTCCTGCACAGCCTGTAATCTTTTCCTACCTGGAGACACAAAGAAGACACTCTGCAGGACTTCATTCCTGGTGACTTCCAGGATCTCCTTGGTGATGTTGATCAGCCTCCCAACAGTGGGGGGCACCCGTCGGAAATCCAGGATCCTGCCCGAGGAAAGCAGCTCAGTGACACGCAGTGGGACCTGACTGCGTGGGGCGGCAGATGCTGCCCGTGCCCTTCCTGCTGGCAAAATGTTTGCCTTCTTGATGGCTGCACCCAAATGGCGGTGAAGCCGGGATTGCTGGAAAAGGCTCCTGGGTTAATTGCTCGTTAGCTGTGAGCTTGAAACAAAACAAACCAGGCATCCAGAGCTCAGCTAGGTCAATGCCCAGGATGGACCCAGTGCATGCAGCAAAGCTACAACCTGTGCATCACTGCCCAGCCTGCATGGAGCAAAGCAAAGTGAGTACTGGGCTTCCAGTGAGAATCTTCCCCACCATGGTGCTGCTGAGCAGTTGCTGATCCATGGCCAGCACTCCATAGAGCTGAGCACAGCTCCTCTCGTACCTGTCCAGGTGGAAGGCTGCGATCTCAGCATTGTGCCTCTGGAAGTCCACAAAGTAGAAGAAATCCTCGGGTGTTTCCTCCTCACGTTTCTGCCTGGAAGAAATCCATGGGTCAATCCTGGGGTGTGTGTGCAGCTGCACCCAGGGGATCCAAGGAGAGACAAAGCAGTGCTGAGGATGAGTGGGCCCTGAGGTGACAGCAGCCCTGAGCTCCTCCATTCTTTGGCATCTACAGAGAAAGAGCCTTCCAATGTCAATAAGCAGTGTGGGAACACTGATGTTTGCGTGTTACTGGGGAGAGAGCAAGCAGCCAGTAATTATTAAAGGTAGCTTTAATAATTCAAAGTGGCTTTGCTGAGCAAAGGACAAGAGATGCAATGTGACGTGCCCCTCCTTGCCCGAGGATGCCCGCAGCCTCACTGCAGCGAGCTCCAGTGCTCCCAGCTGCTCATCATGGGCAGTGGGGCTTTGCCTTACCTCATGGGCTTGAACATGGCTTTGCCGAAGTCCTGGAACCTGAGGACCAGCTTCAGGTGCACGCCACTGGGCTTCACAACTGGGGGGAAAGGGGACATTAGGTGCCTGTATGCAACAGATCGGCACCTCTGCATCATGCGAGTCTCCCAAAGTCCATTTGTTAGATCCCCTTGGGGACTTTTTCCTCCCCCCATTGGCACATCAGTGTCTCGGCATCCCCACCCCATCCTTGTGGGGCTGTTTATCCCTAAGCGGAGCGTGGGGCTGGAAGCTTGAGGGGAACCCAGTGCCACCTTCCCCACTTGGGTGAAGCGAAGATGGCACAGAGTCCTGGGAGGATGCACTCACTCTGGCTGCAGTCACAGGCTCCCAGCAGAGCTTTCTCATCCTGGCTGTAGTCTGCAAGAGCAGGAAGAGCCGTGAGGATGGGGCTGTGCAGGGCTTGCTATCAGACCATCTAAAAAGCCAGACTCCCTTCTGATTATAAGCTCCATTTATACATAAAGACACAGGAAGGCCCTTCTCCCATCTCCAGGTACCATGATGACAATCGTGCAGCACAAAACCCATGGAGAAGCCAGCGCAGGGCTCAGAGTCCCACACTGCAACAACACTCACCAGCGCTGACGGTGGCAAAGTCGTGCATGTCCTGCAGCAGCCTGCTGACAGCAGGGCTGGAACGGGGGTAGAGCCCATCCCGGCTGATGCCCAGGTGGAACTGCAGCCAGCTGACTTCGGGACGCAGCGGGAGCAGCGCAGCCGCAGCCGTAAGGTTGAGCTCCTGCCTGTAGAGCTTGTGTCTCCTGGAAGGGAACGAGCATGGGGTGATGGGGATGGGTGCAGGATGGAAACCCTCGGTGCTTGGAGTAGAGCTGGCAGCTGTTGTATTACGGGATGGAAAAAGCCTTTGCTGTGCCAGAGGTTTTTGCTAAATCCAGAGGTTCCAGGCAGCACGACTGCTGGAGCCCCAAGTTGTCCTATGTCCTCTCAACCTTCATGCTGGGCAATGGGATGCAGGGGGGCCACCAAGCACTGCGCTGCCCCAGAATTGGTAAAACTGGGGTGAATCTGTCCCATTCTGGCAGGTGGAGTTGTGACAAACCAGAGATTTGTTACCATAAGCCATTTTTCCTCTGATAGGACCCAAGCTTTGCTGAACTGCCATCAAAAGGTCATTTATCCCCTGGCTGACAGCATTGGTTTCTCATTAACATCGGCAGAGCCGTGCGTGGCATCTGCGCTCACGATAAAGGGAAAACTGAGTTCAGTTTGCATTGAAAGTGCCAAGATACCTCAGCGAAGGCAAACAGGAGCTGTGGCTGATAGCGAGTGGTTCATTAACCAGTGGGGCCCTGGGGTGCCCCAACCCTGCCTCAGACAGCGGGGTCTGCAGGGCTCCCATCCCTTCTCCATGGTGCAGAAGGGCAGTGCGGTCGGTCCAGTCCGAGGGATGCATTTCAGGGATATTTGGGGAGAAATGTGGGGGGTGCCACCAGTCCCACAAATGCAGACGGGGACGGCGAAGCCCCCAGTGCGTGTCAGCAGAATGACGCAGGAATTTTCCCGAGGGAAGCTGCCCACATATTTTACCATATTTGCTCTCCCACTTTCCCATGCATGCAGCCTGTCCCCCCCCCGCCCCGATGGCGGTGAGCGGTGCATTACTGATGGGGAAAAAAATGCAGCCTTTGTGCAAGGGGAGGCAGTGGGCACGGGGCTGGGGGCAGCCGGCCTGCGAGCCTTCAACCCCCAAACGCTGCTCCCTCCAGGGTGCCTGAAATATTTCCCTTTAAGAACAGCCCTCTGCAAAAGACATGATAATATAAAAAGCAGGTCCAGATAACTTGCTATGAACAGCCTTGGGGCTGCCCAGGCTCTGCTCAGCGCTGGGCTGTAGGAGGCACCAGGCACTGGGTGCCGCTGTCCCTGTGGCACCAGTGCCTGGCACTGAGCAGGTCACAGAGTTTGGAGTATGGAATTGTTTCTTCATGGATAGAAACAAGCCCTGGGTTTGTTTGGTTTTGCTTTTTTTTTTTTTTTTTTTAAATTATTCTTCCTGCAACCCCATCAGCCACCCTTGCAGTCAGATTCCCTTAGCTAGGAATGAGAATGAGAAGGCAGAGCTCTGTGTGCAGGTAGGATGCACAGTGCCTTGTTCTCCTTACCACCCATAGCCAAAATGTGCCACATCCCAGGGCCAGGCCATGTGAGAGCCAGCCAGAGAACCCCAGACCGATTTATTTCCACCTGCCTGCAGAAACTGTGCTGTAGGTGCAGGGCTGAGCTGGGTCCACTCAAGCCGTGCAGATGGGTGCTGCACTGACAGCCCCGCCGTTCATGCCTCACATGGGATGGCCATAGGGTCAGCTCGGACCCTGTTCTACCCTGTAGGATGTGTCACACCTTGGGGAGAGCTGGGAACGTGTGCGCAGCCCTGAGCTACACCACGCTCTGCTAAACCCATGGGCTGGGAAAGCCATGGCTGCTCGCTCCTATACAGATCCCACTGTCAGCCCAGGGATGTCCCCATGCCAAGAAGATGAGCTGCTGTGGCTGTATGACCTCGAGGCACAGATCGCTCTGATGGGCTGGCAAAAAGCACCATGGCAGGCACCTTCCTAACCCACATTCAATTTGCACTGCCAAGGAGAGAAGAGGATGGGTGTGAAGTTGCAGGGGCCTGGCTGGAAATCACAGTGGTGCACTTGGCATTGCGTGCTCTATGGTGGTGTGTAAGGTAGTGCACTATGGAGCTGATCCTGGTCGCATCCCACCTCCCCACAGTGCTTTTCTTTGGGAAGCATCCACTAAGCATCCCAAGCCCTCTCGCCTCATATTTCCCAGCCGTGTGCTCATCACTGCCCTGTCCCACCCTGCTGAATGCAGCCAATGTCATACAAACATACAGCTCAGCCTCGCCGCACGCATTCTCAAGGCAGGGAGAGGAAGAAGAAGCTGGAGGGGTCTGAGCCATGTTCAGGTCATGGTCCCTCCCCTCCTCCACAGTGCCTTGCAGGACACTGGAAACAGGGAAACTTTTCCTGCTGGTAGTTGCAAGGAGATGGCTCTGGGGTAAAGCACCCAGGGGCTGACACCATTCTGCCCCCACAGTGCTGATGCAGAGTGAAGAAGGCACCTATCCTTACTATGCACAACTAGCAGGGGCTCACCCTGCATCCCTGCGCCCTTCTCCTCCTCAACTCCCCCATCAGGGACCACAGGAAGCCTCTCCCAGCAGAACCTCCATGCAGAGCCCTGTGATCTACGGGTGCTGTAGAAAAGGGCAATGGGAAGGACAGCAGAGAGCCAGGAGGTGGACACAGGGCGGGCCACAAAAGGGGTGCCAAGGGGTTGTGTGCAGAGGTCGGGGTGTCTGGGCAAGAGATATCAGGGGGGTGTCCATGCAGGGGGTGCTGGGAGGTTGCTCTGGGTACCCAGAGACTGGGGATGTGCACCTGGGGATGGGGTGCCCAGGGATGGAGTACCAGGCATGTGTGCCTGCAGATGGGTACCTACGGGTAGGTGCTGGGTTTGGGTGTCTGGAGACTAGGAACGGGGTGCCCGTGGATGGGGTGCTGGGTTTGGGCTGCCCGGATATGGGGTAATCAGAGATTGGAATTTGAGGATGAGTGCCCGGAGATGGGATACGGGGATGGACACCTGGGGATGGGTGCCCGGGGGCGGGTACACGAGCATAGGCGCAAAGGGATGAAGCGCCCAGGGATGGCACGCTGGGTTTGGGGTGCCCGCGGATGGCCGCCCAGGGAGCGGTGCCGTTTCGGGGTACCGCGCGGCGGGACGCACCTGTTCCAGCGGGCCGCCTTCCGCCGGTAGTAGCGCAGAGCTTCGCGGGCGCCCAGCAGCGGCTCGGCGGAGCCCGGCGGGGCGGCGGCGCGGTACAGCGGGTGGGCGAAGAGGCGCCGCAGCGGGGAGGAGGAGGCGGAGGAGGAAGAGGAGGAGGCGGCGCGGGCGGGGGGCGGCGGCGGCGGAGCGGCGGAGGGAGCGGAGCGGCGGCGGCACGGGCAGCTCGGTGCGCTCGGGGCCAGCTCCCTCCGAGCCCGCGGCCAGAGGTGGAAGTAGAGGTCGGCGGCCAGCAGCGCCCCGAGCAGCAGCAGCACGGCCGGCCGGTCCCGGCGGGGCCCCGGCATGGCCCCCGTTGCCGGGTGGCGACAGCTCCGGGTGCGGACAGCCCGCACCTCCCTCCCTCCCTCCCGCCGCCGCCGCCGCCGCCGCCTCCCGGGGCAGAACGCGCGGGGGAGCTCGAGCGGCGGAGCCGGGAATGCGGGCACCTCGGGGCGGGGAGCGGGCAGGGCGCTGGGGGCCGGCCTGGGACAGCGCGGAGAGACCGGGGCGTGGAGAGGGAGGAGAGCGCGGAGGGATCGGGGAGGAAGGGGGTCCCGGTGGCGAAGGGGATCGGGGGATGAAGGAGGCTCCCCGTGCGCTGCCCCGCCCGTCGCGGTCGCTCCGAAAGTAGCGCTGTCGCCTGCGGCTGCTGACCCCGCTCCCCTGCGTTCCCTTCGGTTTCCTGATCGTCGGAAGATGGGCACTGGTTCATATTCTCACTTCGAATTGCTTCTGCAAAATGACTCTGCTCCGTCTTTTGTTATTTGAAGAGTTTGGGTTTTGGGTGTGAGGGGCTCGCTGTTGTAATACCGAATGTTACGTATCTGGGGGCTGAAACTTGGAGCAGTCGTTGCAGGGGGATTCGTTCCCAGTGGTGCTGTATTGCTGGGCGAGCGGATCCGCCGTCCTCAGCCCTTCCCGGACCGGCGGTTTGGTGCTTTCCCAATAATCCCAACAATAAGCAATGGTCTGTGGCTAACAATAGGATTTTTCATTTTTATTTACTTTCTTTTTTTCTCTCTCTTTTAAAGACGAGATTATCCAGCTGAAGTGAACAAAATCTGCGCTCCAACGAGCCAGAATGAGTCACCAGCAAACACAGCTCCGTGGATGTGAGCCCTCCAAAAGCCCTCATCGCCTCACGTTAAACTTAAAGCACAACTTTGACAACCACTCCATCAAAACCGGCTGGTGCTGCTGCGTTCGTAATCCCCTCTGAGCCGCTGCCTGCTGCTGATCTCTCCCAGAAACCACTATTAAATCTTTCCTGCTTTGCAATGCCAATTCTGAACGACGGGCACGAGGAGAAAAGCCATCAGCAGGGCTGGCATCTCCGTGCTGTTTGCACACGCAGCGGGAAGATCGTTTTGTTGCTAATGAGGCTAATTAAAAACAAATAAATAAATAAAGCCATCCCATCAATCTGTACCAAATTGAAACGCCGCGGTCCTTCCCAAAGCCAGCTCTGAGCACATCGTGGTTCTCCTGGCTATTGAATGCCTCCGTGCACCGTGGAAATGTGTTCCTAAAACAAACCTGCAGAGGTGCTTGGGCAGGACACGGGCAGCTCAAGAGGAACCAAATTACCCTTTGGAATTGCCGCCAGATAATTGGCCTCATTTACTATTTTCAGACTGAACTCCTTCCCCCCAGACAGTCACAGTGGAGGAATATTCAGGCGTAGATGATGTCCCCAAACATATCATTAAAGCTTGAAATAAACGTGCAGTGACATCCCATGCTAAGGACTTCCTTTGTGCTCCGGGTGGTAACCAGGAGGTTGTTTTCAAAGTCATTTTTATTAAACAAAAGATTTCCCTCTTGTTTTTCCCCAAACATTGGGAAATGAATGTAATTTGGGTACTCTCATGCATTTCTGATTTTAAAATGGTCTTCCTTAGAGCTGCCTCCTGTTTGCCAATAGGTAATGCCTCTGTTTGCTTCTCTTTCTTCGCTCTCTGCTTGAATTGCTCCAGGAACGACCCAGCCCAGCCCCTCTGGTTGTGTCTGTATAGGGAAAAAGAGGTGGATCTGCTCTTTTCTCGCTGCCCTGTTAATTACTAGGATTAAACACCAAGGCAGCCACATAGCATTTGAAGGGAAATAGAAATACAAAATAGAGGAGCCAAGTATTTGGCTTTTCACTATGGAAATGTGTCTGGGCACATCGGGATGCAGCAGTGCCAGCAGTGTGACAGAGCTCCGTTCTGCCCCCGGCCCTGGTGGGACGCAGGGGGTAAAGTCCCCAAATTGTGTCCATAACGCTGATGAGGATCACTGGGAAAGGGTTGGCCCTGTGTTGGTTGGGGGCCTCCTGTGACAGGAGGACCGCAGGGCCAGGTGGTGGGGGAGCATTGCCTCGTGCTCTGCCTGGGCTTGTAATGAGCAGCACAAGGCTGGAGCGAAGTGTTTAAATGAAGAACACGTTTTTGTTAGCTAACAATGCAGAGAAAAGCCCTGGAGGCCCCACTTGGACAATTAATGCCTCTTCACTTGCATCAAGAGGGAGGATGGCTCTTCACTCCAGGGATTTTGCTACAAAAACGGAATTATATCAGATCAAAGGAGGTGTACAGAGATGTGCCAAGTGGAAACGAAGCCTGAAGTCTCCTTTGCTCTGTCCCTGCAGCGGGGACCACGCGGGGCTGTTTCTCTTGGCTGTGCTGAGAGCAGTGCTGACCTCTGAAGCAATCCTGGGCTTTTGGCCGCATGGACGCTGGCTCAGCTTGCACTGAACTGACGAGATCTGGCTTCCCAGATAGGAAAAACAAAACAGTCTCTGCTGGGCTGAGCTCGCTGGCCGATGTCACCCTTGCTGAGGAGGAAGGGAAGAGTGCGTGTGTGCTGTAAAGGTTAAATCACACGGAGCCAATCACATTCCTGCTCTGCAAACAGAGCTGGGCTGTACGTGCGCATTCTTTAATCAGTATTTGGTTTCTTGAATTTCTTTTATTGGTAGTTAACTGTGTAATGGTCTCAGTGGAACATCTGGTCCATGATTTCAGAGGAATATTCTTCAACCCTCGCTGAAAGCAATTATTTTTGGATACGAGTGGAGGCTTTGGAGCCATTAAGAAGATAAAATGCAGATTGTTTGCAGAGGATTTTTTATAACTGTAATGGCTCTCAAAAAGAGGATCGCTGGTTACTTTTTCCTCTATGCTATCAGGCAGACAGCAGAGACTGAGCAAAGTGGTAAGGGACTGAACCTAAGGCAGTGGGCTGTGACCCATGCCAAGCAATAGCTCATCTACCCATCTCCATAAGCCACTGAGGTCTGGGACTTCTTACAGAAGGATTTAAAAGCACATCAGCAGATGGGACAACTGTTGTTTTCAAAGCAGAAAATGAAGGGCTTTACTTTTTCCACCACTGATGGGTGAATCACAAACCTCCCAACTCCCAGCCTCATCCCAGTTCATGCAGAGCACAGAATAAAGCTTTCAGCCTCTGCTCTTTGCACATGGCAGGCTGTGGTGACAGCTGGGAAACCTTCATTCCAAAGCAAATGTGTTTTCCAAAGAAAAGCATTAATCTATCAGGAGGAAATCAGTTGTCTTGTGAGTTAGGTGTGGTTTTTGCACTGTGTCCTCCATGGAGGTTGCTGGCTGATTCCTCTTTGTCTGCAAAAACAGTGCTTTAAATTATTTAGAGGAAACTATACAATCTTGGCTGCTGCGCGCTATTACGATTGCACATCTTGTCCCAGTGAAAACCACGTGCAGACAGGCTGTAAAGTCATGGCTGTTTTGTAGTAGGGAGACAAACTGAAGCTGTTAAACCAGGTAAGAATTGTTCCTCTTGCTTTGTCCTGGAGAGGTTGGGGGGTTGGGAAGGACCCTGTGCCCTTTGCTTGGGATGGGCTTGGAGGTGCCAAAGGATTGGTGGAGGGATGAAGGAAAGAGTGCAGGTCTGTGTGTCCTGGGCAGTCTTTGCTGCACTGCAGCTGTGCTCAGCTTTGTTTCCATTTGTTTGTGTTTGTTTTTTCCCCACTCGTGACCTGACTGTGGTCACCCTGACCTTGGCTCAGGGGTTGGCATTGGGCAGCTGAGGGCAGTGGGCTTTGCACTGTGTGAGCGTGGCATTCTGCACTACAAGGAACAATGCAGGGCTCACGTAGGGAACTGCATCACAAGGATCTGTTCAGTAGCTTGTTTTGGGAGAAGTGCAGCACGCATCGTACACCAAATGCAAAACAGGAGAAGTGGAGGAGCTGGGGGGCACCAAAGAGGACAACTGCTCCATTCGTACAGTGACATAGCAGACACAGAATCATGGATTGGCTTCGGTTGGAAGAGACATCAGAGATCAACCTCCTGCCATAGGCAGGGTACCAGCCACCAAACCAGGCTCCAGATGTGCCTCCTGGATCCGTGCAGTGCACTCCCATCCATCGCTGTGGGCTCCTCTGGCATCAAAACTGCATCAGCTATTTGGGCCTGAGCTGCTCATCGGTTTGCTTCCTGTTTTCTGACGTTGCTGGAAGTCAGCAGTCACACTGGGATGTTTTGGTGCTTTTTCTTCCCACCAGGATGTAAAATAAGGAGCAACAGAAACACACATCCTGCTGAAGAGCCTCTGAGCTGCGTGTTTGCCTGGGAACTTCTGTCTGACCGCTGTACAATCAAGGGTTCAGGTCAAATTAAGATGCAATTACGGCACTGGGACTTCTCATAGGTTAAAATGTCTCCCTCTAAAATTCCTCCAGCCTTTTAGGCGTGTACACTCGTGTCTAAGTAATGGTCTTGGACTTGCCCTGCACTGCCCCAGAGGTCCATCACCACAGGGACTGTTTGTCAGAGAGCCAGCAAGGAGATATTTATTGAAACGAGAAAATAACCGGGATGGCTTTAACAAGGCTCAGAAGAAGAGGTCTCTTATCAGCAGTAAATTCAGCTGTTACTCAGCTCAGCCCTTGAATTCCTTATTAACCCTTAGCGAGTACCAAGGGGTGTTGTGCAAAGCAGAAAGTGTGTTCCTATTGAAAGGAGAGAGGTTGCCCTGGGGGAGCAGGGTGATACCAGTGATGGAGGAAGGCGATGCCGCTTTTAGTACAAGTTCCTGCAACAGAAATAGATCTTCCTGAGCACGCACTTACATCTTTGTAAATTATATCTCAGGTTAAACTACTCATTAGAGTGCCACAGGGGAATTTCAGGCTGGCTAGGTACATCATCACAGGAGATAGACTAAAAATTACAGTCATTTGGAAAGAACGTGGATTGGAGTCTTAGGGCCTGTGGTGAAAGTCAGTGCATACATTGGGTTCAGCCTAAGTGTTATCTATAGCACATCTTTCCAAGGAGCTACTGCAGAGCTCCTGCAGGAGGTTTGTGCTGCTGGGGTTCACATTTTTTTTGCTTTGGTGTTCATCTGGAGGTAAACCCTTGTGAAATGGCTGTAACCACAGGACAGGGAGTATTTCTTCCTGCATGTGGCAGTTAGTCCTGTGGGGTAGGGGGGAGCAGAAGGCGTTGGGTCTTTGTCATCTGTAGTGCTGCTCCCACCACGGAGTCACAGCGTGGTGACCTCAATGATCATCCAGTTCCAAGCCCAATCCTTCAGACAGGGTTGCCAGCCACCAAATCAAGCTGCCCAGAGCCCCATCCAACCTGGCTTTGAGCACCTCCAGGGATGGGGGTACCCATATTTCCTCCCCATGCTCTCTCCTTTGGCTCCTCTTTTCCTTAGGCCATCTCTTCCCTCTCATGGGAACAGAGTATTTTAGGACACACACTAAAATTGCTCTCCAGTGGTGATACTCATCAACCACAGCAGAAAAACCTTTAGACAGCTATGAAGGAATTTGCCACACTCGGGAAGATTTTTCTCCCTCTCTCTAGACTTGCATGTAACTTAAAATAGCTAATTATTAATGCCAATGCCTCTTCATTCTATGAATAAATGAGATACTGGCGCGGGGAAAGGAGCTATGAGATCACCAGATTGCCCATTTGCCCATCTCTGCTGCTCATAAGCATGCGGGGGCTTGTGCAAGCGTTCACCATTTAAAGGGAAGATTCCGACCGTAATTTAATAAGCATCCATTATAACCAACAGAATCATGTGAGCGTAGCAGTGGAAGAGTTCAAATGTTGGCCTCATGCTTTCTGCTTTGCAGTCGTTGCTCTGAAGCCGCGTGCTGAGGATGCCCGCCCACAGCAGCCACGTTAGCAGCAGTGAGGAGGTTTCTGCAGATGGGATCTTTTGGTGGGAATTGCAGCCGTAGGAGGCCTGCGGTGTCTGGGCAGCAGCTTTGAGCTTTGCTGAAGGGCAGTGGAGTTGGTTCACTTTGGGGAGGGTCAGAGTTAGCCTATCCAGCATGAGGGGATTGCAGCTCCTGCTGGCGTAGAAGTCGAATCTTTGCTGTGTTGTTCCTCCACAAGAAAACGTTAAGAAAAAAGGTTGAAAATTATGAGTGTCTGTCCATCTTCCCCACCATTTTATTTCAGCATAAAGAGCAAATAACTGTGTGCAGTGATTGCAGCTATTGCCGAATTACGTGGTGATTCATGGCGTGCAGATTACAGGGCAAGGGTTATAGCTGGGATTGCTGTGGTTTCTCCAGATCCCTGAGTATCATGGACTCATAAGCACTGGGTTTTTCCGCTTGTGTGACAATGTTTAGCTTGAGCTGCAGGCACAATTAAGTGGGAAGATGGCAAAATGCATCTTAACTGCTGTGGCACTGCAAGTGTGAAATCTCCTTGAAAATAAAGTGACGGCTGAATGAGCTTCTCCCATTGTCTTCTGGATGTTCTGAGAGCTGGCAGCAGCCATAGGGGCCTATGGCAATGCAGAAAGCCACATCCAGCTGCTGGCGAGGAGATCGCTGGTACTTGGGTGGTGGTGGAGAGGAAGGGCTGACACTGGTGGGAGTGGGAGGATGAGGAAGTGGTTCGCTTTGGCTCACCGTGGGGTCTCAAATCAGTGAGTTACTTTCTTATTAAAGCCAAAAAAGCTACAGTTCTTCAAACCCTGTTCTTGCTCATGGTGAAATCTCCCCCCTTGCAGACACCGTCGCTGCGTGTGCCTCTAACAGCATCGTTTTAGCATGCAGGATCATGTGGGTGTGCATGGATCCTGCCTGGGGGTGCACTGCCGGAGTGCATTTCTAATTATAGCTAATTGCAGGGTTGGTGCTCCCTGGATTTGGCCTGATAGAAGTCAAACGATTTCCTGTTGCTCAGCACTTTGCAGACGTGCACTCAGAGGCGCTGTGATGGATGTGCTTTCTATCCAGCTTGGTGCATGCACGCTCTTCACTCTCCTTCCTGTGCATGGGACTTGGGGTAGCAAAGCACCACTGTGGGGTCATTCTGTGGTAAAAGTCATTCTTTGAAGCCTAATGGGGACATGAAAATTGCTTTTTGTATGGTTAGTGCAGTCATAACTTTGTGTTGTCCAAGACCCCAAGCAATTGAAACAGCTGTTAGCCCAGGAGAGGTCTTGGCCAGAAGGCATGGAGGGGATGGTTTGGGATTCGACTTGGGAATCCTAGAAGTCTTTTCCAGCCTTAATGATTGTATGATTTTTTGGTTTGTTCATATATGAAGCAGCCTTCATTGCTTTGTCACCTTGTAGGTTTCTTAACAAACCCCAAAACAAGCTGTGTTCTTCATCTTGAGCTTAGGGGGCCTGCACTTGGCTGGAAGCATGGTGAGGACGAGGGGCTGGTCTGCCCTGCTCCTCCCAGGGAGAATCCCCCGAAGGACGAGGAATTGCACGAACTTGGAGCTAAATGCCATATGGCTGAAACAAAAAATAAATGAAATCACACCTCTTCATTACAGAGATTTATATCGCTGGGAAGGGGCCTGGCAGCCACCACCAGATGCTCATCTTCTCAGTTGCATTATTGGCTTCTGGGATATCCTCATAATTGCCATAAGTGGGAGATGATTCCCCAGCATCTGGTGCTTGTTAATACCAATTCAAAGCGCTTATCAATCCACTTAAGGAAAGCACGTACGTGCTCGATGCGCAGAGCTGCTCTGCAGGGTCCTTATCGGGTCCCATTTTACCTTTGAATTGCTGCTGAATGGCTCTCAGTGGCCCCTGGTGCCATCAGAACTGCTGGGAGGCATTGCCCAGGCGCTGCGTCCCACTTGTGCCCATGGGTTGGGAAGTGCTGCTCGGTTCCCCCAGCCCCATTCGAGGGTTGTGTTTATTTCAGAGCTGCTGAAATACCGTCTCACTACAAATTACCCCTCAGCTGGTGAAAAACGCATGTAACATCTGAGCCTCGGTAGAAATATTCCAATAAATTACAACTGCTGTCGTTTGGGTTTTTTTTTTTGCTTTGTGTTCAAACCACCTCTTGGGAAGCTGCCTGCAGCCGGTTGTGGTGCAGAGCTGCGCTCCTGAGGTGCTATTTTCATTCCAGATAGGAATAAAACAAAGCCCTGTTTTTAAAATATTTTCTCCCCACATCCTTCCTCAGTGTAGCTCTTGGCCAGGTGAAGCTCTGTGCAAGCTACAGCAACAGCAAGCTCCGGGCTTCCAGGCAGAGCTTTGGGGCGGAGTGCTTGCAGGAGGACCCGGTTAAACAAGGGGATGAAAGACTTCCTCACGCCGTTCCTGGCTGAGGAATGCTGCTCGGTATGAGGCAGTGTGCGAGGGCAGGGACAGGCATTCCTCAGGCTTGCTGGGATCCAGCCCTGTCTAGACTTCATAATGCAGTGGTGTGCACCGCCCGGCCTTGAACTGCTGCCATGGCATCTCTCGGCTCTTCGTATTAATGGAACCCAGAAGCCTGTGCTCTGCCAGAGCCTCAGCCACGCCA